AGTTTTTATGATGAGTTTGCCCCCATGTGGTCAAATTTATATAGCAGGGCATTGCTGAAATGCTTATTTGTTGCTTACATAAGAATGCAGTTAATAGAATCTGTTTTCTCATTTTTCAAGTCTTTCTACAATACAGCCCTCAGGTCTCAATCTTATCTTCATGACCCATTTCCTTCACTGCTTTTCTACATAAGCCATACCCCGCAGCAAAACTGGATTTATTTGTATTTTTTTTTTTTTGCTATTGTTATATTTCTACACCACCCCTCCTACCTGAAACTTTGCAGCTAAAATTCTTCTAGGCTTAGCTCTCATCTGCTCCCTCTCTTGAGGGAACTGATTACCCAAGCAGAAGAGAAAGTGATCATTCTCTGTGCTGAGCATCAATTTTATTTTTTTTATTATTATTATTTTTAGGCAATTGGGGTTAAGTGACTTGCCCAGGGTCACATAGCTAGTAAGTGTCAAGTGATTGGTCTGAGGCTGGATTTGAACTCAGGTCCTCCTGACTTCAGGGTCGGTGCTCTATCCACTGTGCCACTTACCTGTCCCGATAATGTTTTGTTTATGCTTCCCTTATGGCACATAGTCTAGCTTGTACTCTAGTTATTTTTGTATTTAGAAACTAGATTTTATAAATCGTAGGTACTTAATACCTATTTATTGAATTGTATTTATGTAGTAAGTAATAATAATAAATAAAAATGTATATAATAAATAGCTGAACTCCCCAGCTTGAGTGTAACAGGTTGTGCTGGGCCACAGGGACCAAGGGTACATGTGACAGAGGTTTATAAATAGAGATCTGAAATGGCTAGTTCTACTTCCCCAAACCAGACTGGCATTTCTGCCTTTGTGGAAAGTAGGAAGAAGGTTATAACTATGTGATCATTCCTTTGCTTTCCTGTCTTTAAGAGGAATATTAGACTAGAATTATATCTATTAGACTTCAGATATTTCTAATCTAGTAATATGATGCTTTGGGTTTTATCTGATTGCTCTGGATGCTCAGACTGGGAAGGTTACAGCTAGCTTGATCTCAGCCATATTAGCTCCCCTCCAATTAAATGATTGTTACAGAAAAGATAATCACAGGTAACAGAAAAACATTTATCATAGCAATCAATAAAACAAATGGAGGGAAGCAATGCAGATTAGTCAGGGTGTTCAGTTGTTTCAGTCATGTCTGTCTCTTGGTGACCCCATTTGGGGTTTTCTTGGCAAGGATACTGGAGTGGTTTGCCATTTCCTTCTCCAGCTCATTTTACAGATGAGGAAACCGAGGCAAAGAGGGTTAAGTGACTTGCCTAGAGTTACATTTCAAGTAAGTATCTGAGGCCAGATTTGAACTCAGGTCTTCTTGACTTCAGGCCAAGTGCTCTATCCACTGTGCCACCATTCCCTAGGTACTCTAGGTGATAGACTACTCAAGATTAAAGGGGTTCTTTGATTCAGGAGCAATTTTTATATTAGCGGTTTCTGGCGGTACAGGTACTAGGAATCCAGGGACATGTAGGGGTTTTGGTTTTTACAACTGAACTGCCTATAACTCTGGGGAAGTCTTCCATCTACCATTCAAAGCCTAGGTCTTCCTTCTCATTCATTTTTTTTCTCTTCTTTCTTCTCTGAATTTTCCTTAATCAGAAGTCCCTCCATGAATCAGAAGTCAGGTTTCCCTCTGAGTATGCAACATTCAGCCCATGGCATCACAGGGCTGTACTTGTGAAAAACACCCAAGTGATCCACGAGTAAAGAAATCTGGAGGGCAAGGATTATCTTTTACCAAGAAAATTGCATGCATAGGAAGCTACAAGTAAACATTTACTAAGGGAATGAATGTATTTGTGAATGATGAATGAAGAGCATTGACCTTAGAATCAGAGGACCTTGGACAAATCACTTAACTTTTTTTGGCCTCAGTTTCCTAATCTATAAAATAAAGGGAAAGACCCTTTCTCGCTCTCAACTTATGATCCAATAATTTTGTTGGAGGAGAGTGGTATAGTGGATTGAAAGGTGGCTTTGGAGCCAAGAAGGACCAGTTCAAGTTCCATCTGGGATATATACTGACTATGTCCCCAGCCAGACAAGCCAATCAAGTGCTTTTTAGACAACCCTCTAACACAGTACGTTGCAAAGAAAGTGTTTACTTGAACTTTACTTGAACTGATAGAATTTCTTCCACCATGTCTTCCCTATGTGGATAAAAACACAGACCCAGTCTCTATCCCTATGATTCCATTAGTTTCTTGCTGCTGCTTTCGGGTTTTTTGTGTGTGACCACATTGCCCCCATGTGGTAAAATCCGGGATAGAGCAGGTCTTTGCTAAATAGTTGCTCACTCACTTGACCCTGGTATAAGAAGTCAGTGAAAGGAACAATTTCTCTGATTTTTTTCCGGTACAGCAATATACCCATCATGCAGAGTGCACATTAGCTCAATTATGTTTTGAGAAAGTATTCTGTCTTATGGTAGGTAAGCTCTGGCTTCAAACTGATAAAAGATGGGTCTATAGGAAGTCAAACACCCAGGTGAACATTTAAATCACTTGTAGAATATGGCCTTTGCCCCATCATACTTAATGTTCTTTTGTTTCAGTTGTGGCTGATGCTTTGTGACACCATTTGGAGTTTTCTTGGCAAAGATACTGGAGTGGTTTGCCATCTCCTTCGTCAGATCATTTTACAAATGAGGAAACTGAGGCAAACAGGATTAAGTGACTTGCTTAAGGTCACAGCTAGGAAGTGTCTGAGGCCAGATTTGAATTTGGGATGATGAGTCTTCTTGACTCCAGGCCCTGACACTTTTTCTGCTGAACCACCTAACTGCCCTCCCTATCACACTATATGCATACAATGCCCATCTCTAATGGGCTCTGCAGCATGTAGTTGTCCTTTGTCTCCCTGTTATATTTCTGATTTCTGTTAAGCATATTTATAACACCTCTAGTAGAATGTCTTATCTTGCCTATTCTTTCAACCTTTCAAATGATTATATCTTTCTTTTTTATTTAAATTTTTTATTGAAGCTTTTTGTTTGAACATAACTATAGTAATAGCTACCATTTATATAGTATTTTAAGGTTTACAAAGCAGGTTACATATATTATCTCATTTCTGAAATATCCCTTTCACTTCATTCTTTCCCCTTTCCTAGTGAGCCTTCTCTTGTAAGAAAGATTTTTTAAAAAAGAAAAAAAAGCAGTTCAGCAAAACTATCGAACACTGGACTACAACTGACACTGTATGTAAGATTCCACACCCATAGCATCTAGAACGGAGAGAGGAAGGTTCGTTTTCACATTTCTTCCCAGGGCCAAGTTTTATCATTATAATTGCATAGCTTTCAATTTCATTTTATCATTCTTTCCACTTCCATCAATGTAATCATTGTATATATTGTTTTCTTACCTCTTCTCACTTCATCTGTATCAGTTCATATGTCTTCCTTTTTTTGAATTCTTCATTATGTCATTTCTTTTAGCACAGTAATATTCCATTACATTTGTGAGGCACAATTTGTTCAACCCTTTCCCAGTTGATGACCATCTCATTTTTTTCCAGTTCTTTACTACCACAAAAATACTACAATTAATATTTTAGCACATGTAGAAACTTTCTGTCTTTCACCCTCTTGGGGTGTTTGCCTAGCCGTGGGATGTCAGGGTCCAAGCCTACCAATCTTTCAAGGCTCATCTCAAAACCATCTGTGATCATTTCTGTGGCAATTGGTATCCCTGTACTCCATTTGGCAAATAATCACAGACTGAGTATCCTCGAGTATCTTGTGACTGAGGTCTTGAACTATTTGTCTTTCTTAACTTTTTATGAACTTCTTCATGATCTCACATAGATTGTAAACTCTGTGAAGAAAGGAATTGTGGCTTATACTTCTTTATATCTCCTTTGGTTCCTAGGACAGTTCCTTCTGAATTATAAGTGCCCAAGAAATACTTGGGCTGGTTTAAAGTGTTTTGAAATGTAGGCCTTCCTTGAATAAGTATATACAAGGCATGTCGCCTGTGTCAACGTATGCTCACTCAGGAAAAGCATTCAAAAACTTTATGGAAGATATGACTGCACAAGAAGGGGGGCTGGTCATATCATGAGAATAGCGACAATAGATGGACATCCATGAGTGTCCCCAAGAAACTGAAAGAACAAGGACATCTTTATTAGGAGAGCTGTCTGTGGAACATTTGTGGGAAAAAGGACCCAGAGTCATGCAGAATGAGAAGGTAGCAGGGTTGGTGGAATGCCTTTATTGTTGAATGGATTCATCATTTCATAGATTATTGGAGCTGGTAGGGACTTTATGAGAGCATTTAGTCCAAGATGAGGAAATTAAGGCCTAGAGCAAGTAAATGAATTGCCAAAGATCACATTGGAAACAAGCATTTATTAAGCACCTACTATGTGCCAGGTACTGTGCTAAGCATTTAACAAATATCTCATTTGAGTATAGCCAGTTTGAAGGAGGTGAATTTTGAGCCAGGTTTTGGACATACAGGAGGTGAATTAAAAAGAGAGAGAGAATGCATTTTAGCTAGGTAGGGAAGAGTGGCACATAACAAAGGCAGGGCAAGGAGAAGAAGACCATTGATGTGTTCCATTCTCCCAGAAAAGGTGGCTTGGTAATACTTAAAAGAATTTTGAATTAAGAATCAGGAACCCTGGATCTAAGTCCTGAATTCTCTGCTTACTATCTCTGTGACTATGAGCAAATCTCTTACTTTCTTTGAGCCTCAGTTTTCCCATCTGTAAAAGGGGAAAAATAATATTTGCATCCATAGGGTTGTTTCAAGGACCAAATGAAGGTACTGTATATGAAAATATTTGGTAATGATAGAGTACTACATAGAGGTAAGTAGTGGTTGGTTTTGGAGTCATATCCTTGTTGTGACTTTGTGCTAAATAATTTAGAAGCAATTTTTATACTGCGTGTTCAAGACAAGTACTTTAGGAATGATGGCATAATGTGAATTTTGCCTATTTCCTAGGATTCTTGGAAAGAAATCCTCATTGGTGATGTGGAAATGAAAAGGATAATGGCTAGTGGCCGGTAAGCGCTCTACATCCATTGGAAGAAATAGTCATTGTCACTCATTTCCAATTATAATCTAATGTTTGCTGTATTTTGTTTAGGTGCATTTTAACAACTGTAGATCCAGACACTGGCATCATGAACAGGAAGGAACCCCTGGAAACCTTAAGGAGGTATGGCAAAACAGAAAGCCATCTGAATCTTAGATTTGTGTGTCCAGGACAGATACCACTTACTACTTAACATTGCAGGATTTTAGATTTTGAATGGATCCTAGAGACTAACTAGGGTAATCCCTTAATTTTTTAGATGAGAAAGTTTAGACCCAAAGAGGTGAATAATAATAATAATAGCTGACTTTTACATCTCACATGAAGTGAATTGGCCAGGGTTACATACATTGTAGTGGAACTAGCATTTAAGCCCAGGTCATTAGACCCCAAATCCTGCATTCTAGGATCATAGATTTAGTTATGGAAGGGACTTCAAAGGTCATCTAAGCCAGACATCTTCATTTTTAAGATGAGAAATCTGAAGCCCAGAGAAATGAGGTGACCTCTCTTCTCCTCTCCTTTCCTCTCCTCTCCCTGGATTTATTGTGGACACCCAGTAATCATTTGCCCTACCATAGCTCAGAACTCAAGTGATCCCCTAGCCTCAACCTCCCCAAGTACTAGGGATTACAGGCAAGTACCACTATATTCTCTCTAATATGCTTAAATGTGTTGTTTTTCTTTTTTTTTTTTTGGTGAGGCAATTGAGGTTAAGTGACTTGCTCAGGATCACACAGCTAGTGTTAAGTGTCTGAGGTTGGATTTGAACTGAGGTCCTCCTGACTCCAGGGCTAGTGCTCCATCCACTGTGCCACCTAGCTGCCCCTTCCACTATGCTTAAATGGAAGTAGAAAGAAATTTTGTGCACATGATCTTTTGCCTAAGGGAGTTACTTTGAAGTATGTATTTTGAAAAGAATTCTCCCCATTTGAAGAGGGAGGGGGTTTGGGGTGCTCCTAGATGCACAGAGGCACCCCAAGATCACGGGAAAAAGCCCAGACCGCAGCATGTATCTGCCTGAAAGAACTCGACCCAGATCTTCTTCCAGCCAGAGGAAAAGTTTATTAAAAATGAAGCATATAGGCCAGATTCCCAAGGAACCCAAACATCAATGATCTAAATGGGGGCTAAGGTGGTCAGGTGATGCTCATAAGTGGGCTTGAAAATCTCAGCCTCTGGGCGTGAGAGGTTCTCAGTGTCTGAATGGGGGCTGGGGGCTAAGGTGGTCAGTCCAGGTGAGCAGTGAGGCAGTCTCAACCTCTTGGGCATGAAGAAAACTCAGTGCCTGAGTGGGAGCTGGGGTGGATAGGCCACGTGACTCCAGTGAGGATAGGCGGGCATGAGGGTTCTCAGCCTCTAGGCTTGAGAACAGCTCAGCATCAGAATGGGGCAAAGATGAGTCTTAAGTACAGAAAGACTGGGGGAGGGGTCTAGGAGTGGCCAAGCAGTTTGGAGTGACGGGAGGAGGGGTCTAAGGAGATCTGGATGGGAGAAGCTAGTAAACTGGGATGAACAGAACGCCTGGGTCCTGCACCTTGTGGTGCCTAGGCCAGGATTAAGGGTAAGAAATGGCCAAAGGCCACAGGAAGGTGAAACAATGGGAAAGCCAGTTGATGGGGGAGGTGGTTGGAAAAAGAAAGGGTCCAGGTGAGAATTTCCATTTGGAATGTCTGAGGGATTTGAACAGACAATGAGAATAGATAATGAACGGAACTGGAAAGGAGAGTTTGCTTTCAAAGGGAAATAAAAGCAGTTTCTGAAACTTTAAGGTTTTCCTGGGACCAGCCAACAAACTGAAGCCAGGTTCTTTTCAGGGCCAGAGAAGAAAGATGCATTTAAATACTTTCAAATTGAGAGAGACAAAGTGAGTCTACAAGGAATCTAAAAGTTTTAAGGTTTTTCTGGGAATTGTAAACAAGGAGCCAAATTCTTTTTGGCAAAAAGGGGCAAAGGTAAATCTCTTCACATTGAGCTCCTTTGTGCTTACCTGGGCACCAAAGGGCAGTAGTTCAAATGATCATTCAAACTCCATAGGCCAATGGAAGGGTTGAGAGGTGGGAGCACTTACCAGCATGGTGCAAGTGTTAAATGATGATAAGCATTGTGACCCTCCTTGCCTTCCATATACCAAGAACAATAACGTAACAGGTGTTTGGGCGTAGTATAAAGAATGCCTGGATTTGGAGTTGGTCCAGTTTGAGTCTCAGCTCTGCAACTAGTGAGCTGTGTCCTTGGGCAAATCATTTAACCTCTTTGGGGTTCATTTTTCCCATTTGTAAAATATGGTATAGGATGGATTATATGATAATGTCTAAGGTGCCTTCTGGATCTAAATTCTATGTATCTATAGTTTAGAGGAAGCTAGGTGGCACAGTGGATAGAGTTCCAGGCCTGGAGTCAGGAAGACTTATCTTTATGAGTTCAAATCCTGCTTCAGACACTTACTAGTTGTGTGACCCCTGGGCAAGTTATTTCACCTTGTTTGCCTCAGTTTCTTCCTCTGTAAGATGAGGATAATAAGTATGTTCCTTTCCTTGTTTTTGTAGGGACAAAATGAGATGACAGTGCTTTGCAAACCTTAAAGCACTGTAGAAATGCTAGTTAGGTATTTTGTGTGATCTCTCTCTCTCTCTCTCTCTCTCTCTCTCTCTCTCTCTCTCTCTCTTCAATTGGGCAATCCTGGGAGCTTAAGGCATTATCTCTAGGAGCCTTGTGAAATTCTCAGCCATAACAAAACAAAGCCCAGAGGGTTACATTTGAATAGTATGCAGAGCAGCCTTTGTAGGAAAGGAATGAGGTGTTACAAAAACTCAAGCAGCTACTAAAACTCCATTCTTTCCAAAGCCTGCACTTAAAGAGGTTTATTGATTTGCCCAAGGACACAGCTCAGGACACAACTGATATTCAAACCCAGATCCCAGACTCCAAACTACGGATTCTATATACTACTACTACCACCGCTACTACTACTACTACTACAATTGGTATTATTTGTTGTTCACTTATGTCTGACTCTTCATAGTCCCATTTGGGGTTTTCTTGGCTGAGATACTGGAGTGGTTTTGCCATTTCCTTCTCCAGCTCATTTTGCAGATGAGGAAACAGAGGCAAATGGGCTAAGTGACTTGCCCAAGGTCACACAACTAGTAAGTATCTGAGGTCAGATTTGAACTCAGGAAGATGAGGTAGGCCCAGCACTCTACCACTGTGCCACCTACCTGCCAAGGTCATCCGCTGCATCCTGAGCCATCACCAGCCGTCTTGACTTTTGTCTTGCCACTGGACTTGGATGACTCTGGAAGAGAGGGTGAACTTTGTGAAACTGCCTCATTGAAATCCTCACCCCATGATGTCATTGATCCTCTTCAAAAACAAAAGACAAACTACTGCTTTTACTACTACTTCTACTTTTACTACTACTTCTACTTTTACTACTACTTCTACTACTACTACTACTACTCCTACTACGGCTGCTGTTGGTACTGCTACTACTACTACTATTACTACTGCTACTACTACTGCTGCTACTACTACTACTACTGCTATTGCTACTGCTGCTACTACTATTACTATTACTGTTACTACCACCACTACTACTACTACTGCTACTACTGCTGCTGTTGGTACTGCTACTACTACTACTGCTACTACTACTGCTGCTACTACTACTACTACTACTACTGTTATTGCTACTGCTGCTACTACTATTACTGTTACTACCACCACCACCACCACCACCACTACTACTACTACTACTGGTACTGCTACTGCTACTACTACTTCTACTGCTACTGCTACTACTACTACTACTACTACTACTACTACTACTACTACTAGTGCTACTACTACAACCACTACTAGCTAACATTTATGTAACATTTACTATGTACCAGGCACTGTGCTAAGCACTTTACAATTATTTTCTCATTTGATCCTCACAACAACCCTGGCAGGTAGGTGCTATTATTGTCCCCATTTTATAGATTAGGAAACTGAGGCAAACAGATTAAGTGACTTTCCCAGGGTCACACAGCTAGTAATTGTCTGAGGCTGGGATTAAAAGTCATGCCTTCCTAACTTCAGGCCTGACGCTCTATCCATTGCACTACCTAGCTGTCCCTGTTATATGACTCTCCTAAAGAGTCTCAGCAGCCAGGCTCCTTTAAACATAAAAGCACTGGCCCCTTCACATTTTTCTGCTGCTAGGATGCGTGAATCATCCAAGTCACTTTGGGAAGTCGCTGTTGTTCCATTTAAATGCTACCACCTCTCCTCCTCTCAGATCCCATATGGTCTTGGACTTTAAAACAGTCACTTTTGCCCACTGGAGTGAGAAAGTTCACTTTGACGCTTGTACCTCTATGGCTCCCAGAGCCCTGCATGCAGTACCTCATATTTTCTGCCCTTCCTCCATTTGTGAGCGTGTGTTTGTTGGAGGGGGATAATTGACTCCAGGCACAAAGGTAAACACAATAAGAATGTGCAGCCAGGAGCGGATGCCCTTGTGCTGATCTATTACAAGTGCTCATATATCCCAACAATCTGGGCCTAATTGCCTCTAATGCTCTGTGAGACAGTGCAGCCGACCTAGGTGTCTCTCTCTTATCTCTTACTGAGATTTAAATTGTCATAAGTGTAATTTATATGCTCCCCCAAGACAGGTGGTCATAAATTGGGAGGGAAAAGGGCCCTGTAGACTCACATAAATTGTAGAGAAGCTAAGTCAACATTAGAGTCAGAAAATAGCCCCTCTGTTTTTGTAGCAGGGAGCCAGGCGCTTCAGCCCTTCATGTCTGAGTTATTTAGGAAATGATACTTTCAGAATCTCCTATCTGAGCTGTCTAGCCTCTCTGCTTGACAACAAAAGTTGGGGTTTGCTAGCAAGTGATGTCTTGTGGGGCAAAGCATTAAGAGTGCAAGAAATCCTAATGGCTAACTGATTTTCATATAGAGATTTTAGGTTTGCACAATTCTTTGCAGACACTATCTCACTTGATTCTCAGCCACCTTGTATCATAGGTGCATATAGATAGTATCACTCCCATTTCATAGATGGGGAAACAGGCTGAGAGGGGTTTAACAGTTTTCCCACAGTCACTCAGTTAGTAAATGTCAGAGGA